CTAGTGCATACAATCACCCATTCTATGAATATGAACTTTTTCTGATGATACATTCTGACAAAAACTGGTAAACAAACACAGCTTCCAAATTAGTGGCTGAATCCCAGGTATCTAAGACCATGTTAATCCTATCCAACGGAGATGCTATATCTGGAATAGTCATTGCAGTTGTCTTACTGCTTGGTTGAGTTTCTAAGGTTTATCATCCAATAGGCTCCATCCACATTTTTCAAGGAGTCAAAATATTGCATTTAATGAAGATATGCCAGAGACCACATCCCTAGAGACCACATCCCCATATGTTCTAGGTCTTTAAAAGCAGCATTAATTCCTGCCACCTCTTCCCTCCTAACGGTGCTACACATTTTTCATTGACTATGCTGGCCAAGAAAGGAGAGAACAGTTTCAGAAGCATGTGGTTGCCCTTCATATCTATAAGTATAGCCCTGCTTCCACAGACCAAGAACCACCAAGGTGCCTCCACCAGTGTAAACTGTGTCTATTCCAATTATACATTCAGTGATCAGGAGGGCAGCTTCTGCATAAATCTGTGGATCCAGTGGACTCCCTGTAAATCATTCCTAACCCAGGATCCCATTTATATCTGGCTTTCACACACCCCCATTCTAACAGGGGTGGAGGTCAGGGAGTGGAGGGAAAAGGGAAGCTATGGTGACATTTTAGGTCTTTGAGTATCAGTATCAACCCAGAATCAGTGCCCCTCTTTCCTTGGTCTACCATTTACATGAGTAAGTGGGTGAAGAATTTTAAGTTTTTCATGAAATAACCACCCTCCAAGTCTCAACCACCTTTAATTCCTTTTGCTTGTACAGACTGAATGCAAATTGTTAGTGGTTTCTTTTACCCAGGGCACTGTGTTATATTGACTCTTCTTGTCATATCAGCTATTTATTTTTTTAAGAATGTAAATACATGTTTCTCATAGACGAACTGTTTGATGGAGATCAGCATATCAAGAAGTGAATGCAGTATGCGTCTCTACTTCTGAATAAAAGAAGGACTCCCAATGAGGCTCAATGAGGCTGTTCAATATGTCTTGACAATAAGAGACTGGATTTTCTACCATTTTTATACCTATATAATTATGACACACTTAAATGGCAAAATGATGAACTTGTGACTGTTGCTGAAGAACTAGACTGCTGCAATAATAAGGAGGGGGGGAACTATGGAAATTGGAAGATTGGATGGTGGAATCCTGATACTTATTAAAAAGTATCATAAAAATAAACAAAATAAAAAGGATTGAATAACAAAATACAATGAATACAAAAAAATTATAGCTTCCTTAATCTGATCCAGATTGCCAAACAACCTACAACAAACAACACAAATAACATAGAATTATTGAAAATGTTCTCCCTGGGACTGGATCCAGACAAGGTTGCATCTGTCATCTACCCACCAAGGAGAATGTGTTTTGTTAATCCTCTTCACAGTGACTCCCTGCCTACCACTCCAACCTGCATTGCATCACAGTATTTGCATACACCTGATTTTTGTCACCTAGGTGAAGCTCTCCTGCCTCTGATGCTCTGGAGTCATGACCATTTCTATTGTTAATCCTCCTTCCAGAACATCCTCTCCTACCTTCAGCCCTGTCCTGCAGAGGAGCACCACTACTGAATCTCCTGGGGATGCTGGCACTCCTCTCACCATAACTTTGTAAGTAGGTTTGTACTTTCAGTGCTCCTGCAGAATATTTTTTCTGGAGGGTTTTATGGACTTAGAAAAATGACAGTACTTCAGAAAGTTCATGAAAAGACAGAAATTTGGCATGTCATAATCCACCACTTAAAATTTTCACATTTCATATGGAAGAGACTCATTTGAGACCCAGCTCTGGTTTTCATTCCATGTTCCTGCTAATGCACACTCTGAGAGGCAGCAGACAGTGGTTTTAGCGGCTGGGTCCCTATCACCCATGTGGGAGACCTTGATCAAAATCAGATCCTGTCTTTTATCTGGCTCATCCTAGGCTGTCATGGGCATTTACACAGTGAATCAATAGATGGAAGATATCTCTTTGTGTGTGTGTGTGCTCATAGCTGTTATTCAAATGAACATTTATTTTTAAATTTCACATTGAATATAATTTTAAAATAACTTTATTTTGGTGGAAAAATAAATTCACACATTTTTTAATAATATGTGCTTCCATGAAACAGAGAGGGAGAGACGCAGAGACATCTTCCATCTGCTGAAGGAGTTCAGAGGAAACTGGGGATCAAGATTTTTTAGGAACACCAATCAAGAGATTCCCATCTTCTGGGTCAGGGTCCCATTCCTTCCTAACCAGGGTGCCAATCTTGTCATAGAAGACTTCTCTTGGTTGGACTCTTAACTATATTTGGTACTTTCAATACATCCTGGGCCTAACCCTTAGAATCCTTTGCCCTCTTAACTAGAAAAGAAGAGAACCTCCTTATATATAATGCATGAAATTCTCTAACTTATATAGTTTTCATTGTTGATTGTTTTAATTCAACCTTTCATTATTCTTCCCAGAGCTCAATCAGGCTTAGCAGTAGCAATTCACTTTTCTAGCATTCCTTATATTTACTATTTCCCAACTAATTTTCAAAGACGTAACATGTGATACCAGTTAAGGCATTCCTTCTGCCACGATTCCATCTCAGTTCACCATGAATGACAGCTCTAATAATTCCTCTGCTACCCTGTTTTAGAAATCTATCTATTCCACCTACCACCAATGATGGGGTCGTCACTGCCAGCTCATCAGCATATGATCCATCTCCAAAATGTCATCACATTGTTTTCGTGAACTACTTCTCATACCAACAGTTGCAGATTGGCTTCCAAGGGAGCAGACTCAGATACACCCAGAGTTCAGCAGGAAGGGCTTTTATTAGGCAATGCTCTTGGGATCAACACCTGCGGAAGGGAAAAGAAGGAAGCAGGATTGGACAGAGGGAGAAGTTAAGCTGCTCTAATGTGGAGCAAAAACAGACATATCCATCAATCATTGGATGTGAAGTACCCCCAGTAAAAGGCTGTGACCTTGGGGGAGGTGCCTTTTTACAGCTGACAGCTGAATATGTGTACTAGCAGCACTCCTAGCAACCGAGTTAATAAGCTGCTTAAGTTGAAGGAAGATCAGAACAGCAGATGGTAGGATCAACAACACGATAAACTTTTTCTAACAAGAGAGTGAGAAGCCATCAAATATTAGAATTGAGAAAAATTTTAACTTTAAAATAGCTGATAAGATTTGAAGTTTCTGTGTGTTAATATTTATACTTCAGAGCTATATTTAAATATTAGTTCTAAGTTACACATTCCAAATATTTAGATACAAATGTGTAAGCCTCCACTTACACTTTGCTATATACATTTATAATTGGTATCACAGATGCTATTGACAGATCTGCCTAGCTAAAAATCCATCTTCTTATTTTTGGTAAGTTACACAAGAAATATCTAGTTACTGTACAGATGTTAAAAAATACAGATGAATTAGAAAACAAAATAAAATTAAACATCAACCAACACTCACAAGAATTTAACACTCTAAGAACATACACTGAGAATACATACATTATATATATCCATATATATATAACCAATATATCTGTATTTGCCTTTTTATCTAAAGTGAGACATGCAATTTTACAAACTACTTTTCTCTTCAAAGAGCATAGCCTGAACATTTAGTAAATTAAATGAAGAAATCCATCAACATTTAAAATAGTTCAATATTTCAGTGCAGTGTAGTAGCCATATCTTTAACTGTTTAAATTGCTTATTTGGAGACACTTATTGCTCACATTCACCCTTCAAAATGATTTGAAGATGCAAAGCTTTGTACAAGACAGTGATTTGGACATCTCCTCAGGATAAATTTCTGCAGGTGGGATGCCTGGGTCAAAGGATGCGTACATCTTGAAGGCTTCCGAAACGGGTATGCCAATGGTCCTTCTGCCAACGTCTATTCCATCAGCAGGTCAGGTGCTCCTCTCCCACACACTCACCAACACTGAGGGGTAGGACACATGTGAATTTTCCCCTGTGTGGATCCCAACAGCACTCTAGATGGTTCCATAAAGATCTCACACCCATCAACCTTATAAAAGAATCTGATCCAAGCACTAAAAGTCGTTTGCCTTCAGCTGTACTTGCCTATAATTACAAAATGATAGCTGTTTATTCATTCTCAAAGACCCCAGAGTTGAGCAAGAAGCAATTTGTTTTCCTATCAAATGCCCCCAGGACCCTAAAATCTAAGTGGCCCTTTCTGTGTGTCCCCACAAGAGGTTCCAGCAACAGTTGTTCTAAGGGTCTCACAAGCTGTCCTCTCCTTCCTTTGCCCACATCCTCCAGTGAAGTTTATGCTTTATCATACCATGTTTGGATGACAGTGGTAACTTCCAGCCGACTTCCTGATCTTTAGTCATATGGGGTGGAATGTCTCTGCCTGCCCCCCAACTCTAGCCCATGCTGCACACAATGCAACCTGTTCATTTCCCATTCACCCTGTGAGTTCCCTGGTCACAAAAGGCCTTGATGTCTCCCAGAGGTGTACAAACACTGTCCAGACACCCCAGCTTAGCAATCAGGGGTGTTCCATGGATGGAATTCACCCAGCTGGCCGACTCTGTCTCCCACCACTCCCCTCCCCACCCTCTGCAGGCCAGGCAGCTCCACCTTCGCCCTAGTGTAGGATTCCCACTGTTACACCTTTCTTCCCACTCCTCCTTCCTTGAATGCCCTCCTGTGCCTTATCCTGACCCTTTGGTGCCTTGTCCTTCAAGTCCAACTTGCCTGAGTGCCCCCGCCCCCACACGACTTGCCCTGGCTCTGCTGTGTGTAACAGTTTTTGCCACTTCCGAGTCCTGACGAGAAGCATGTAGCCATGATGGGAGGATCCCAGCTCCCCTACCGTCTTCTCGTTGCCATACAGCTGGCCTTTCCAAACAGAGCACAAACTCAAGGACAAGGACAATGTCTGTTTGTCTGCTGCTTAAAACACACAACTTTATTGATGACAGAAAAATAAAATCTCAAATGTATAAACATAAGTCCACACAAAGGACCAAAGATTACCTTAGTTATAAAGAATCAGTTCAGTTCTGCTCATGAAGCATACTTAAAATATCTTAATCCAAACAAGATAAAAATCATCACATGTATTTTTAGTACAAGTTTTCATTCATTTGGTGTTCATAAAATGGTCTAGGCGTAGACCATCATAGGTAACATCAGATTCAAAATTATAATGCAGTTTACAATGTGCATCATTCAAGTTTGAGCATACATAGCCAATCAGAGTTTACTTATTAATATCTCAACTCTTTCTTTCACCTCAGGGTCACTGCATTCCGCTGCTAAAAGTCGAAGTTTCTTGGCACATGCTTTAGGCCGTTGGAATAGAAAGTAAAGGGAATTTTTACTGAATTTGTCTTGAGTAAATGCTTTTGACCTTCTTTTAAAATGATAATTTATATTTTCAAAGAGTAAAAGAGCATTAAGAATATTCTCTTTTGTCTCCTTCTTGCTAAAAATGTTAATCAGTGCTGTTGGTGCATTAGCAATGAGCAAATCTTTTGTCATAGATGGATTTTTAGAGAAATTCACGAGCATTCCCAAGACATGGTCTTTAGTTTCTCCACTTCCCACAGTTAACAAACGAAGAAACTCTGAAATATAGTTTGTAACCATATGCTGATACTCACTAGTAATTGTTAGGTGCCTTATCAATCTTAGACCAGCCAGTTGCACATTTGAGTTCAAAGGATAAGTGACTGTGTCTTCACATACTTGGTTTAAGTATGTTTTAACCTTCCTATGGTTTTCAGCAGCCACTGAGATATTATTCAGTGCATTTAAAGCCTTCTGCCTAACACTGGGGTGGGGATTACTAAGCAAGCCTTCAATAACTGAGATTCCACCAACATTACGAACAACTTCATGGGAATAAGGATAATCAGCACTGTTATACAGAGCATTATTAGCTATCTCATGAACAGAAGGGTCTTCGGTCATCTCAATCATGCAAATAAGTTTCTCAAGGTCTCGTGGATCCATATTAGCTTCAAATTTACAGCGGCAGGACCAGGGCCGATTTTTTTCTCCAGTCTTGTTCTGTTTTCTGAACTCATTTCCAGTTAAGAAGCCAGGCTCATATCTTGAAAATTTCATTTCTGACCAGATCACAGCTCCATCCCATGACCCCATTCCTGCACCAGGAACCATGGATGGATACAAGCCTTTTGACTTGGCTAACGTTTTAGCTTTGTCTTTACTTGTGGATTTATCGTCACTGCCATTTTCATTACCAGTACTGAACCAAGACCTTATATCAACACCATCAGCAACCTCAAACTTATTGTTAACGGCCCTATCCTGAATTGCAGACTCAAAATCAATCTTTTTTTCATTCTTGGATCTACACTCATTACTGTTTTCAGGCTCAGCCCAAAACAAAGATCTTAAACTGATCTCCTCAATATCAGGGCTGGAAGATCCACTCAGACTTAACTCATCTTCATCTATATTCCTAGCCCAAGTCCAGGACCCTGTGACAATCTCTTCCTCATCCCTAAGGTTATCTCTATTCCAAGACCATGATGACATCCTGGCCTCTGCTCCAGCCACAGCTCCAACCATAGCCCCAGCTTCAAACCCAGGTGCAGCCCCTGCCTGAGCCCTGGCTGCAGCCCCAGATGGAGTCTCAGCTGCAACACGAGTCCAAGCCCGAGCCTGAGCCCCGGCTACAGCCCTACTGCGAACTACAGCCCCAGCTGCAGTCCCAGCCAGAGCCTCAGCTGCAACTTTGGGCCGAGCTCCAGCAGCAGTCCCAGTCAGAGCCTCAGCTGCAACCTTGGGCCGAGCTCCAGCTGCAGTCCCAGCAGCAGCCCCAGCCAGAGCCTCAGCTGCAACCTTGGGCCGAGCTCCAGCTGCAGCTCCAGCAGCAGTCCCGGCAGCAGCCCCAGCTGGAGCTTTGGCTTCAACCTTAGGTCGAGCTTCAGCAGCAGTCCCAGCAGCAGCCCCAGCTGGAGCCTCAGCTGCAGGGCCAGCCAGAGCCCTAGCCGAAGCCACAGCTGCAACCTCAGGTAGAACCTCAGCTGTAGCCCCAGCCCGAGCTCCAGCTTCAGCCTCAGCTGCAGCTTCAGCTGGACACCCCGCCAAAGTTCCACCTGGAGCCTCAGCTACAGCCTTAGCCTGAGCTCCAGCTGCAGTCTCAGCTGGATCTCCAGCTGCAGCCACAACTGGATCTTCATCTACAACCCTAGTTGGAGCCCCAGCTGCAGCCACAACTGGATCTCCAGCTGCAGTCTCTGCTGGAGCTTCATTTGCAACCCTAGCTGGAGCCCCAACTGGATCACCAACTGCAGTCTCAGCCGGAGCTTCATCTACAACTCTAGCCGGAGCCCCAGCTGCAGTTCCAGCTGTAGCCACAGTCACAGCCACAGCTGCATCCCCTACCTGAGCCACAGCTGCAGCCCCAGCCAGAACCTCAACCTCAGCCATAGCCTCAGCCCTAGATGAATCTGTAACAACAAGTCCAACCCCAGCCACTATCTCAGCTTCAGCCCCAGCCCCAGCTGCAGCCACAGCCTCAGTATCAATCTCAGCTGCAGTCCCAGACAGAGTCTCAGCCACAGCTGGAGCCACAGCTACAGCCGGAGCTGCAGCCACAATTGGAACCACAGCTACAGCTGGAGCCTCAGCCACGGCCGCAGTCGCAGCCACAACTGGAGCCTCAGCCACAGCCGAGGCCACAGGCATAACTGAAGCCGAAGCTATAGCCAGAGCTGGAGCTGCAACCACAGCTGGAGCTGCAGCCATAGCCACAATGGCAGCTGGAGCCACAGCCACAGCTTCAGCCCCACAAACAGCCAAAGCCTCAACCCCAACCTCAGCTGAAGCCTCAGATGGAGTTTCAGACATAGCTGCAGTCATAGCAGGAGCCACCGTCACAGATGCAACTTCAGCCACAGTCCCTGCTGTAGACACGGCCTTAGCCTCAGCCCCAGCTGCAGCCCCAGCCTCAGTCTCCACACAGGAACCAATATAAGTTGCATCCTCAGAGCTGATCCAGGACCCAAGACTTGCCTTATTCTCAGTGTCAAATCTAGAACTGGTCATGGCTTCTTCTTCTGATCTACATTCAGTACTGGGCCCACCCTTAATATCAGACCTAGGCACAATAATAGCTCCTTCCCCTGTCCAGCACCAAGTTCCTATAAGAGCCTCACTCCCAGGCCCAAACCAGAATCCTTCATTGGCTTCCACCTCAGCACTGACCAAGAACTTTCCACTGGTCTGGTCCTGAGATCTATCCCAGGAGCCTCCACTGGCCTGGTCCTCAGGTCCTAGGCTAGACACTGCACTGGTCTCATTCCTGGGCTTAGATTCAGCCCAGGATTCTCCACTGGCCTGTCCTCCAGCCCCAGCCCAGGATGTTCCACTGACCTGAGCTCCAGCACCAACCCAGAATGTACCATTAGACTGGTCTGTAGGTCCTGACCTAGATGTTCCAATGACCTGGCCACCAGCTGCACCCCAGGGCTCTCCTCCGCTGGACTGGTCCTCGGGCTCTGGCCTGGAGCTTCCACCAGCCTGGTTTCCAGTCCCAGGCCAATACCCTACAGCAATGGCCTGATCCCCAAATTCAGATTTGGGACAGCCACCAGCCTGATTCCCAGTCCAGGATCCTCCAATGACCTGACTCCCAATACCAGCCCAGGACCCACCACTAGACTGAGTTGTGGGCACCAGCCTAGGTCTTCCAACATTCTGGCCTGCAGCCTCACCCCAAGGCCCTCCTCCATTGGTCTGACTCCCAGTATAAGCACAGAACCATCCAGTGCCCTGGTCCCCAGTGGCAACCCAGGAATTTCCAGTAGCTTGGTCTGCTGGATTGGGACCCAGCCTAGATTCTACACTAACCTGATCTCTAGCATCAGCCCAGGACCCTCCATTGACCTGAGCATCAAAAACAGGCTGTGCCCCACTAGCAGCCAAATCCTCAGTCCCAGCCTGGGACCCTCCATCAGTCTGGTTTACTGCTCCAACCAAGAATCCGCCATTGATTTGATCTCCAGAGTCTGCCCAGGTCTTTCCACTGGACTGATTCTCGGGTCCCGACTTAGACACTCCAGCAGCCTGGCCATCAGGCCCAGACCAAGACCTTTCTTCACCAGCCTGACTCTCAAATCTATGATTAGCCTCACCACCAGACTGCTCACTAGTCTCAGTCCAGGAACCTCCACCACCCTGACTGCCAGAGTCAGGCCAGGACACACCACTGGTCTGGTCTACAGGCCCCAATCTGGCTCCTGTACTGGCCTGGCCACCAACCACAGCCCAGGACCCCTTTTCATTGACCTGATCTTCAAATACAGCCTTGGACCCACCAACAGACTGATTACCAGGTGCAATCCAGGTCCCTCCACTAGCCTGATCCACAGCTCCAGTCCAATATCCAACACTCACCATATTACCAGTGCTAGCTCCAGCCCAAGCCGCTCCACTGGCTTGGTTCTCAACCCCTGTCCAGGATCCTCCAATAGCCACTTCACCAGCCCAGGACACCCCAGTGGCCTGGCACCCAGCCCAAGATGCTTCAGTGGCCTGACCCACAGCCCAGGACCCTGCGATGGCCTGGTTCCCAGAAACAACCCAAGTCCCCCCACTGGCCTGGTTCTCAACCCCAGCCCACCCCTCACTAGCCTGACTTGCAACCCAGAGCCCTCCACTAGCCTGTTCCCCAGCTCCTGTCCAGGACCCAATATTGACTTCATTTTCAGCTCTAGCCCCAGCCCAGGACTTGACACTAGCTTCATCACAGGCCACAGCCCAGGACCCAATATTGGCTTCATTCTCATCAGCCCAGGACACACTGTTTTCCCAGTCTCCATCCATGGCCTGAAACCTAAACTTGATCCACCGCTCAGCAGCAATCCAGTCCTCAACACCGATCCCATTCCAATAGTAGTCATGAACACTTGGCTGAGTCTTTCTGCAAGCCTGAGCACCAGTGCCACCCTCACTCTCAGAAGTGGGTATGGTCTCCCCTGCAAGCCCTGCAGAAACCTCACTAGCTGCTGTGACTTCTGCCTCAGAATTAAGTTTAGCCTTGTCTCTTGCCCCAGGCATGGCCTCATGCTTGGAAGTGGCCATATTTTGGAATTGAGCAGAACCCCTTGTGCCTGACCTAGATCCTGCTTTAAGTGTAGCACTGGAGTTACCCCTGACCTTATTCCTGGCACCAAGCGAGGACTCACCCTGAGAAGCAGCCATAGCCTGGGTCTGGGCAGAACCTGTTGTACCTGTCCCAGCCTCTGTCTTAGGCACAGAATTGGGATTGTTCCTGATCTTACTCCTGGCACCAAGCAAGGTTTCACTCTTGGAACTGACCACGGCATGCAGCTGGGTAAAGTCTATAGTGCCTGCCCCAGCCTCAGCCTTAGGCACAGCATTGGAATTGCCCTTATTCTTATTCTTGGCACCAGGCAAGGCCTCACTTTGGGCACTGGTCATAGCCTGGGACTGGACAGAGCCTATTGTCCCTGCTCCAGTCTCTGGCTTAGACACACCATTGGGATTGCTCTTGACCTTACTCCTGGCACCAAGCAAGGACTCGCCTTGGGAACTGGCCATAAATTGAGGCTGAGCAGAGCTTCCAGTATTTTTTCCAGCCTCTGCCTTAGGCAAAGTATTAGGATTGTCTTTAATCTTATTCTTGGCACCAGGCAAAGCCTTACCCTGGGAACTAGTTGTAGACTGAGGCTGGGCAGAGCCTACTGTATCTGGCCTAGCCCCTGCCTTAGGTGCAGAATTGCGATTTCCCCTGACTTTATTCTTGGAAGTAGGCAAGGCCTCATTCTGGGAACTGCCCACAGCCTGAGACTGAGCAGAGCCCACTGTGTCTGTCCCAGCCCCTGTATCAGACACAGCATTGTGATTGCTCTTGACCTTACTCCTAGTACCATGCAAGGTTTCACCCTGGGAATTAAGTACAACCTGGGGGCAGGCAGAACCAATTGTGCCTGCCCCAGCCTCGGCCTTAGGCACAGCATTGGGATTGCCCTTATTCTTATTCTTGGCCCCAGACAAGGCCTCACTTTGGGCACCAGTTACAGCCTGGGACTGGACAGAGCCTGTTGTCCCTGCCCCAGCCTCTGGCTTAGACACAGCTTTGAGACTGCTCTTGACCTTACTCTTGGCACCAAGCAAGGTCTCACCCTGGGAACTGGCCATAACTTGAGGCTGAGCAGAGCTTCCAGTACTTTTCCCAGCCTCTGCCTGAGGTACGGCACTGGGAGTTCCATTGACCTTACTTCTGGCACAAGGCAAAGCATCACTCTGAGAACTGCTGACAGCCTGTGGTTGAGCAGAGCCTACTGAACTTGCCCCAGCCTCTGCCTTAGGCACAGCATTGGGATTGCCCTTGACCTTATTCCCAGTACCAAGTGAGGCCTCACCCTGGGAAGTGGACACAACCTGGAGCTGAGCAGAATCTGCAGTATCTGCCCCACTCCCTGCCTTAGATATAGCACTGGAATTTCCCTTGATCTTATTCTTAGAACCAGGCAAGGGTTCCACCTGGGAATTGGTCATTGACTGAGGCTGAGGCAAGCCTAGTACACCTTCCTTGGTCTCTGCCTTAGGCACAGCATTGGAATTTTCCCTGATTCTGTTCTTAGCACCAAGCAAGGCTTCACCCTGGAGATTGGCCACAGACTGGGACTGACCACATAAACTCTGGTCTGCCTTGGTATCTGCTCCAGAAATGACATTAGAATCCCCCTTACCATCAACCTTGGAATCAGATGAGGCCTCATCTTGGGTCTTGGTCCCAGCCTGTGGCTGTGCACAGATTTTTACATCTGTCTCAATTCCTGCCTTACATTTGGTTTTGGTTTTAGTTTTGGTTTTGGCTTTGCCCTTACTTTTAGCTCTTGTACTAGATAAGGCTTCACACTGGTTCTGAGTTGTAGGCTGAGTTCCTTCCTTAGACATGGTGTTGACACTAGTCACACATTGAGGCTGTGTACAGGATAACACGTCTGGGCCAACCTCTGCCTTAACCATGGTATCAGAATTACCTCTGTTCTTATGCTTGGCATCAGGCGAGGGCTCAACCTGGGAACTAGTCTTCAAGTTGGCCCTGGCCTCTGCTTTAGCCATGGCATTTGGATTACATTTACCCTTAGCCTTGACATCAGGCACAGCCTTAACCAGAACACTGGCTGCAGTCTGAGGCTGAGCAGTAGCCTTCATGTCTTCTCCAGTCACTGCTTTAGATAAAACACCACTATTTCCCCTACAATCAGCCTTAGGCTCAATCACCACCTCAGTGAGGTTCTTGGACACAGTCTGAGGTTCTGTGCAAGATCTTATATCTGCCCTTGCCTCTGCCTTACAAGCACCATTAGTATTGCCCCCAGCACCAATCTTTGCCTCAAGCAAGACCTCAGACTGGGCCTTGGCAACAATCTGAGACTGAACAGAAGCCCTTGTGTCTGCCCCAAGCCCGCCCCCAGATATGGTTTTGAGATTTTCATTGCCTTCAGTCCCAGCATCAGGAGTGTCATCATCCCAGATCTTGGTCATAGTCTGAAACTGTGCACAAGACTTCATGTCCACTTGAGCTACTTCCCTGGATATACCACTAACATTTTCCCTGGCATCAGCTTGGGCACCAGGTTTGGCCTCAGACCAAGTCTTAGCCACACTCACAGTCTCTTCTAGGGCTATGGGCTTGGTCTCAGCCACAATTCCAGTCTTGCTCATGGTTCCCATCTTGGCCAATGCCCTGGTCACTGTCGAGGCCTCATTCTGTGTCACTGTAACTTTGTTAGTCTCTGCCTCTGTTTCAGCCAGTGTACAAGATTCAGCCTTGGTCTGGGTTATTGCTTCTTCCTTGGCCTCTGCCTTGGCAGCCAGTGCCAAAGCTTTAGCCTTGGTTTGAGTCACTGCCTCTTTCTTGACTACTCTCCTAGCCTCAGTATCAGTTTGTGTCACTGCCTCTTTCACAGCCACTTCCCTGGCTTTCGCCTTGGCTTCAGTCAGAGTCTCTGCCTCTGTCATAACCAGTGTTCCAGCCATCAAGTTGGCCTCACATTGGGTCTCTGCCTCTGCCCCAGTCATTGCTTTGGCCTGAGTGTTGACATTGGGGCTGGATACAACAGTGACTTTGGTCTCTAGTCCAGTCCCAGATCCACCTTCAGTTCCAGTTTCTGCTTCCGTCTTGGCCTTGGGTCTAGTCTCAATCTCTGTCCCAGCCATGGCTTCACACTTGGCCATGGTCTGGTTCTGTACCCCAAACACAGTTTCCATCTTGACTTTGGACCCATTTTTGTCAAGTCTCCTCACACTCTGGCCTCTTCCCTTGGATAATCTGTAAATGTAGTAGCAGGTGCCAGCCCAGATCATCAATCCTGCAGTCACCCAGCCCACTTCCTGAATGCGGCCCATGGAATCACCCCTGCTGGATTCGCCAAGGTACGGGGGGTAGGGGAGCTCACTCGGACTGGGGAAAGAGGATAGTAGGTCTGGGTGTAGGCCTGTGAGGGTGCTGGTCTTCAGCCACTCAAAGGCCACTACAGCTGCCACTGGAGGTAGACCTAGAAGTGGAGGAAGGAAATGGACTAAAATTTCTCTTCTAAATCTATTGCGTCACACAGATAGATACACAAAGGGATGGGAAAGGGCAGAAATTATGTGCTTGGTAGAAGAGTATGATAAGTAAACTTTCCCCTCAAATTTCATCCTAGCCCCACCTTCCCCAATGCCCAACAATTTTCCCCCTTGGTAGTTCCATACACAATACCATACACCAGATAAACAGTGAGAAGGAAGGTGGGAAGGCTGATGATGAATGGGAAAGAGAGAGAGAAGTCCCCAGATCTTGATTTTTACTGGACTTAAACCTACTCTGGCCACCATTCCCACAGGTCCCCACCCTCATACCAACCTTTAATGATCCAAGGCAGTTCCCTTCTCTTTCCTTCTTTTGCTTGATGATATAGTCTAAAGTAGATACATAAACGCATGAGATCTTTGGACCTAGAGACAGACAGACAGATGGAGGGACAGGAGGGAGTAGACATTTCATTCTTGACAGGACAGACATATAATTAGTTTTCCCTCAGTTGACCCAAATCCCCCCAGGTGTTATCACACTCTTTTCCTTGGACCAGAATGAAGGTAAGAGTGGGACATAAGTGATAGACATGGGGAGAAAATGACTAAGAAAAGAAGAGATCAAAGATCCTCCAAACTGGACACTGGCCCTTGCTACATATACACTGGTCTCCAATCAAACCACTGCAGGGTCTACCCAGGTAGGCGCCCAAATTCTTACCAATCTATCCTGATCAGAGGTACTGTCCTTTTCGTTTCTTTGCTTCCAGAGATCTCATGCACTACAGCAGATATGCAGGTAGCTCTATAGACATAAAACAAAAAGGAGGTAAGGGAGACCAAGCCCTTTGTAGAACAGACAAGCACACTGACCTGTGACCCCATTGCCTGCCTTTTCAGAATCTGGGACCAGCTTCCTAATGTGTTTCATCACATGGTCTCTCAGGTCAAAGTCTTCTCTCAGTCACACTCTGGCTCATGCTTACTTCAGTAAGGACTATTAGAATCCCTTGCACCACTCTCAATAGAAGGTGTGGCAGCACTACAGAAATTCAACAAAGTGTGAGACGGAAGTGTCCTGCAATGATATCCTGTCAAGTCTCAGCCACCCTCTAGGCCCACCCTCTGTTGCCATGCTCAGGCACTGCCCAACTACACACCAGTCTCCACGATCCCAAGCCAGTCTCCTCCTTTTTCCACTGCTTCCAGTAGCAAACAATCCTACTGTGGGCCTATGGGAAGACCTAGGAAGACAGAAAAGGAGAAGGTGAATATTGGATGCTTGTGATATTCCACATCTAAGACATGGGAACTGGCATCTGCCTTTCTAGACTCAGAGACCCATTTTCTGATACACAAAACCTAGGCCTTCTCCAGCACTGAAATGAGCAAGGTAGAAAAGAAGGCAGGCAGAAGAACAAGGAGAGACAAGGGCCAAATTATTTGTAAACTGCCTCTACAGAATGTTAAGGCTTCCCCCCAAAAGTCATCAGTGTTATCTAAAGTACACATAAAACCATCAATAGACAAGCTTGCTGTCAGCCTACAAAAAAAAGCTTGCTCTTCAGCCTACAATTTCGGGTAAAAAGTCCTAAGCATGGTAAGTAAATACAGTTTAGGCAAAGTTTCCTAATTAACCCTACTTCACACCCTAATCAAGCAATGATAGCGCCTAAGTTCCCGACAAGAAAATTCACATAGAACTTAAAAGGTTCACACAACACAGCCCATGCTTTCACTAACCTTCCAAAAGCCCATGTAGTGTTCTGTCCTTCTTCCCCGGCCTCAGCTTCAAACAGTGCCAGCTTGAATTATTGTCCGACACACTGGAGAGAGAAAAGGCACTGAGAGCTGGCCAGCACTCAGGCCACAAATTCCAATACTCGGCTCCAAAGCCGGTTATCCAAAGACCCTCCTCTCAGTCGTGATACCATCTCTATTGAGCCGGCTGGACATTCACTCAGGCCCACCATTTTCTCTGGAAATGCCACCGTGGCACGTCTCTTGCAGTGAAACAAGCAGGAAGCCAGCGGACATGTGGGGTCAGTGATTGGACTGAGAGAGGATGTGCATCTCGATCCGGATTTCCCTCTGGCACTCCCTCCAAGCCGCCCCGTCAAAGCCCATGGCTTCCCAGCAGAGAAGTGGGGGGGGGGGGGCGGGCGGGAAGGAGGAGAAGGGGAGGGGGCAGGGGACTCCAGGAAAATCAGAGGCAAAGGGAGGCTCCTTGAACTTGAGCCAGTAGAGACCTCACCCCAAACCCAGCACCCATCCGTCGCTGGATCTACTAGCGGCTACCGCCCTGGCCGCCAGGCCCTCACCTGCTCTGCTTTCCCCGGGCCCGATGCCAGCCCGCCGTGCGCAGGACAGCGGGGAGCTGCTAGTCAGACGCGAGTGACGACTGCACCCGAGGCTGCGTCCCTCTGCAGCTCGGGGTCACGTGACGGCCGCGCGTCACCGCCGCGCTCGCCCCCCTCCCCGGCCCCGCTGGCCAGCAGACGGTCAACAGGATCCCCCTCCCCGCGCACCGCCGCCCCCGCTTCCGTCCGTGCCCCGGCGCCACGCACCGCCCTGTCACTCATCTGCAGCCTCTCCAATCTGAGGGCCCACAAGTGGCATCACCGCCTTGCGGTTGGAGTATGCCTTGCCCTGGTTACTAGGGAAGGTCTGCACTACCCCTCACCCTCTCACACATGCACATACACGCCCAGGCTTTACTATGGCCTTTTCTGCTCTTTCACTGAAGAATTCTTCCTGCCCCTTCTACAACCTACACTCTGGTAGGATAATCCCAAAGGGAGTGTAATGAATGAAAGCAGAGAGGGCAGGCAGAGCCTTCGTATTCTTGTAAATATTCTTTTGTTCCTTTTAGCATCGCGCTTTTGTAAGCAAATAATTTCATAAAGCAATTTTTCACTTAACATAAACTTTATGTTTTTTACATAAAATATGTAAAAACCAATATCCAGGCTGTAATGTAACAGAAAACTTATTTACATTGCTTTTATGTCGCATTTAAACCATGTTTCCCAGTTGTAAACTCTTTCACAGCTTCCAAAACAAACTAGCAATTATTGACATTTTAAATGCATTTTTTTTCTGGACAAAACCAGCACGTTTTAATCAAAACCTATAAATTAACCTTGGAATAGACACTGTTTTCAAGTATTGACAATTTCATATAAGTCATTTATAGCTTTTTGAAATTCTGAATGAACTTATGATCTCTTATCAGGTGTCAGGAAAGTTTGCAGAACATCCCTGGATGTTTAGTAAAGTCCCAACTAGTGATGAACCCGTGGTCTTACAAGCAAAAGTGTTTAAAGATTAATGCGTATTCCACCCAATGGCCTTTATGTGGATTTTACAGCTGCCTGTAGTCAACTCAACCTTATCAAATCCATGAAAGCTCCAAACACTATTGCATGCGTGGAAAGGAGGCCCAGCAGGTGGAATTTCCAGTCCATCGTGATGGGGTGTGAACTCTCCCAAGTGCACATCCTCTTTGCTCTGTGTCACCCAGGCAGTGGCGAGAGCTCAGCACATCCATGGAGATGGTGATGAGGCTTGGGGTGGGTGACTGCGAGTCCTGCCGCACACACACCCCTGATGTCCATGCTACTTTCTCTTCACAGGTGGCAGCCCAAAGCCCAGGGTTCTGAGCGGTCGCGTTTCTTCGCTGCGTGCCTCACTGCACCACCCATTCAAGCCCCTCAGAAGAATCCCTAGAACCCAGGGCCCAAGTATGCCAGAGTCAGTCCCCAGTCATCCACCTGTCTCCCCTAGGACAAGTCATACTCTAAATATAGCCTGTGCAGGCAGCCGCTTTCTCAGACCTTTGAAATGTGACACCCCAGCTGGAGGCCTCCATGGGAGGGGGTCCCAGTGTTGGGGAGGCCCCTCCAGGAGGTGAGACTCAGAGCTAGAAGTGCCATCTAGCCTTACTAATGGCTTTTCAGAGTTCAACTGCCAGCAATGATCCACATTTCTCCATCACTGGAAAAGACTGATTACATGAAAATACAAAGCTTTGAAAAAAATTTAAAAGCATTGAGTACCAATGCATTTGTTTATAATTATCTAAAAACTCTTACAGATCATTAATGAAATTATGAGTAATACAATAGGAAAAAATGTGCCAAAGAGAAGAATAGATCTATTCACGGAAAAGAAATAAAAACGGATACACATATAAGAAGATGCACAACTTCCCAAGAAATGCAAATCAAAGCAAGTACACCACGCTATGTGAGAATTTAGAAATTTAAAATCATTGGCTGCTTTGTGAAGAAGCAGACCCTCTTGTACTCTGTTGCAGGCAGATACTCTCATACAAAGTTGTAATAGAGGGCAATTTTTTTTTAAGATTTATTTATTTTCGGGCCTGCAGTGATAGCGTAGCGGTTAAAGTCCTCATCTTGAATGCACCAGGATCCCATATGGGAGCTGGTTCTAATCCTGGCAGCTCCACTTCCCTTCCAGCTCCCTGCCTATAACCTGGGAAAGCAGTCGAGGATGGCCCAAAGCTTTGGGACCCTGCACCCGCGTGGGAGACCTGGAAGAGGCTCCTGGCTTTGGATTGGTTCAGCTCTGGCCATTGTGGCCACTTGGGGAGTGAATCATCAGACGGAAGATCTTCCTCTCTGTCTCTGCTGCTTTCTGTATATCTGACTTTCCAATAAAAAATAAATAAAAATCTTTCTTTAAAAAGATTATTTTTATTGGAAAGGCACATTTATAGAGACAAGAAAAGACAGAGAGAAAGATCTTCCATCCATTGGTTCACTCTCCAAGGGGATGCAATAGCCAAAGCTGAGCCAATCTGAAGCCAAGAACCAGGAGCTTCTTCTGGGACTCCCACACAGGTGCAGGGTCCCAAGGCTTTGGACCATCCTCTACTGCTTTCCCAGGCCACAAGCAGGGAGCTGGATGGGAAGTGGGGCAGCTAAAACAGAAGCCAGCGCCCATATGGGATTTCAGCACTTGCAAGGTGAGGGTTTTTAGCCATTGAGCCACCATGTCATTGCATCAGGCCTGAGGGCAGTCCTTTGATCCAGAAACTCTCCTTCTTGGAATTGGGCCAATGGATATATCTATACTTTAGGCTATTTCTTGGAGTGCTCCTAAAGATTGAAACAAAAACCTGAATAACAAAGTGGTCATTAATAAGGAAGAGAGTTAATAAATTAACTTAGAGTTACACAATGTTTCTGATAAAGAGGAAGCATTAGATGTTGTATCCTTATAAAAACTCAATTGGAATTTTTAATTTTTTATTGCTTATCCTCTGTATTTATATACAAAGCACCCAAGAATACACTCTGCTGTAAGATTCAAATCCAGGAAAAGCACTGATACTATCCCTACTTTAACACCACTGTTCTCTCATGCAAATCACAAGTTCAGTGTGTTGAATTTTTTTCTGCACCTTATACACACAATGTATTTCTTACTAACATTATAAATGGAATCATAATTAACATTGTGTCTTGTAACGTTTGTCAACTCAAATTATGTCTTACAGAGTGCTTTGTTCTTCTTAACCACTGCATACTATTCTAGAGTTTGGTTATGCTATTGTTTAAACATCTCTCCCTCACTGATAATAGAATTGTTCTGAGGCTGAGGAAAATAAAACAATCCCACAGTGAACAGTTTGTTATGGACAGCTTTGAACTCAGGTGAAAGAATTTCTAGGAGACTTTACTATAAATAAAATTGTTCAGCTAAAGAAATAAGATTTTATACATTTGATATTGCCACAAGAAGGAAGTGAGATTTTACACAGTCAGTAGCTATGACCCCAAATTGTCCTCCCAAGTGTCATGGCCAAATTACCACCCCAGTAAAACTCATGTCAGTACCTATTTCCTCATCCAGTTGTGTACATTGAGTATTGGGAATTAGTGCCAGTATAACTGGCAATAACGTATCTAATTGTCCTTTCAATTTACACTGACCTAATTATCTATTGTGTTGGCCACAAAAGCTTGTTAGCCATTTGCATTTCTTCCCAGAAAATTAGTTGTTCATATCCATTGAGTATTTTTCTATTCAATTGTGTTCTTTTCACTGTTATCTACTTTGTGAAATATTCCTGTATGTTTTGTATTATACATGAATTCTTCCAAGCAGTCACTAACATCTTCGTTTTATGTTTTTGATGAGATTCATAATTTTTTATATTTTGATATGATCAAATACCTTAACTACCTCCTATGTGATTTCTGGGTTATACAGAGAGAAAGAGAGAGAGAGAGAGAGAGAGAGAGAGAGAGAGTGTCAAACGCACCTAAAAGCACAATTCAGAAGTTTATTTGGCACAAAAAGTGTGAAATACACCCTTTTAAAATATTATTTATTGGAAAGTCAGATTTACAAGGATCCTGTATGGGATATTGGCTCTTCCAAGGTGAGAATATAGCCATTGAGCCATCCCACTGGGGCCTGAGAGCAAAATGCTTTTTAGCACACCTGTGAGAGTGAGATAGAAACATGTGGGTGCCTTGACCTGGTTATCATGGGACCTGACAACTTTGAAGACCAAGAGATGTTGAGCTGGTTGTTAATTACATGAAACTACCACAAAATGCACCAAAGAGGAGCCATCGCTATGGTTTAACTAGCTACGCCTCCTTCTGCAGGGCAGGATCCTACATGGGCACCGGTTCCTACACTAGCTGCTCCACTTCTCATCCAGCTCCCTGCTTGTGGCCTGGGAGAGCAGTAGAGGATGGTCCAAAACCTTGGGACCCTGCACCCATGTGGGAGATCCAGAAGAAGCTCCTGGTTCCTGGCTTTGGATTGGCGCAGCTCTAGCCATTGCATCTACTTGGAGAGTGAGCCAGTGGATGGAAGATCTCTCCCTCTGTAAATATGCCTTTCTAAGAAAGTTAAATACATACTTTTAAAAATTTGCTCTTAATATAAAGGTTAATGTAATTGGATCAGTTCACTCAAGCACCTTAGAGCAGAAGGTTGTTTTCCGGAGCTCTTTGAATAGAAACAACAATATCTCTGATATCTCAATTTTTGTATAACTAATTGGGATCAGTTTAAAAAAAAAACAGTATTGTGGCACAGTAGAGTAAGCTGCCACCTGTGACTCTGGTATCCAGAATTCCAGTTTCAGTCCCAGCTGCTCCACTTCTAATCCAGCTCCCTGTCAATATGTCTGGCAAAGTAGCACATAATAACTCAAGTGCTTGGGTCCCTGCCACTCATGTGAGAGACCAAGGTAGAGTTCTCAGCTCTTAGCTTCATTTGGACCAGTACTAGCTCTTGCAGCCATTTGTGGAGTAAATAGATGGAGTATTGCTTTCTTTGTCTCTCCCTATAATGATTTGAGATTGAGCCAATATTGTCATAAAAATCTAACATGGTTAAATCTATGAAAGTGGGGATAATATCCCATGTAGACTTCAGTT